ATACGTTCTTACAATTCGCCAAGTATGTCTTTCGTTGATCTAGTTTGCGTGTACATTTCGAAGCAGAAGAAAGCAAAGAAAGTTGTGTGATTTATTATTTTATGATAAAAAATGTATATATGATTCTTTGACACTGGCAAAACATGTAATTCTTGAAATAAACGATAAAAAAGGAATATTTCCGAGGATATCCTGAGATGAATAAGGGCATTATTGCGCTGCTAATATAACACAAAAAGACCAACACTGAACCTGTGATATGTAACATTCCTATGAATAACGCTTGGGTTGAAAATGCTAGAGTAAAGCCTTGCCCCAGATCAAGGAGGTGATAAGAAAAAACATCAAAATCAGCTAAATCAATTCGCTATAAGATGCTCTATGTTGAAGGTTCCGTAGACTTGAAGCAGTTATGTTTAGTGGAAGTTATAACCAAATTTTCAAAGCTAATTAAAAGCCGACCTGTAAGATATATGAAACACAGAGAGCCCGCGTTCCCAATGAACGTTAGGTTTAAAATGAGAACATTCTTTCTTACAGCTAGCAAACGTCCTATTTTAATGCGAGGATCCATTCTCACAGTTGTCGCTGCGTTCAGATTCGGATTCTGATGAGCTCATATCGGATTCGATATCAAGGTCGAGAAATGATACAACAGCATTGAGATCCTTTTGCTGTATGAGTTCTGAATTGTTGCGCTCCTTTGGGAACATAGCAAGAACGTCTTCAGAGACTACCTAGAATTTATGCTTTCATCGTTAAGTGCACCGACGTAAAATATTTTGAAAATATGTAAATTGGGAGATCTAGCCCTCGTGGATAGTAACAATCAGATATAGCTTAATCTTCAAAAAATTTGACACTTAGTCGAAAAGCATTACTCAACAAGAAAACTAATATAAAGACTGGCTGAGCACACCTCACTAGAATATGAAAATATTTGCCGCAACCTTCGTGAGACAATATTCCAGAATGCACACTCACTTATGGTCAGGGGTAATAAGTATGGTATACATTTTTACAAGAAACCTTAACAAAAGCGCTTCCTTAAATAAGGTTGTTGAGTAATAATGACGGATCTAGCGTGATTAAATATAATTGGTGACTAACATATTTCTTAAGTGCGGTTGGTGCCACCCAATCCTCAAAATGGCTCAGTGTATAAACAACTAATGCCTCTACGAACGGTCCTCGATGAAGAACAGGAAATCCACCTTTCGTCAGCTGCAAACCCTGCAATCAATTTGCTTACAATTTGCTAGTCAGATTTTTCAAAATAACTTCTCAGAATACAATTCCCACTGGCATTCTCTAAAAATTTATAATGCCGAGCAATAGCGTAATACTGATTTGTTTCGAATTTTTTTGCACCCTTCTCCTTAC